CGTCTTTTAAAATAAAAAAATATCTAGAATATAAATTAAATAAAAAATAACATTCATCAATTTTCCAATAAACTTACTTTATAAATGATAAAACGGGGTGATACGTCCCCAAAAAAAAAAATTACAAGTATGAAATTTAAAAAATTAAAATTGTTATAAAACACCACTAAGTATAATGGGTCAAAAAATTAAAAAGGGGTTTAAAACACCAGGGGAACCCTTTCCAGTTAAAACATGCAGTCATGTGCAAAAAAAATCAAAGGAATGGAAAAAGGGGAATATCTTTTCGAACACAATTTATATTCCCTCAGAAAAAAATTAGAATTTACTTAGTTATGGGCGCATGTTTTCATGTAAAATTTGTCATATAAATTTTCGACGGTTAAATTGGGGCGTTGTTAAGTGAAGTAGCTGTTTCTTAACAACAAAAAAGTTTTTTAACATCGGGCAATTTCTAGTTTTCTGTTGGAACTTTTTCCCAAAATTTTGCCCCCAAGTATAAAAGTTTTTATGTGATGTTGATCTATTAAAAAAGGGGTTGCAGTTTTCGCCCCCAACACCTCCTTATGTAAAAAAATTTGTTCTAAAGTTGTAGGACAATTTTCATGGATGTTCTAAACTATAATTTGACAGATGGGGTTTTCGTCTAAGAGGAGTGGTAACCATTTCATGTCTCAAAAAAACATTAAGGCTGCTCCCTTGTTTTTGGGAAAGTTTAAGGGATTTTGGCTACCTTTTTGTCAGAGTGTCAAGTTCAGCAATTTGTCTGACTCTACAAAAAACGTGTCTAAAAAACGAATTGGGCAAAAGATGCTTTTCAAACATTTTTCCATATTTAATGGGTAAGTCTTTACTTCTATACATGGCACCAATTCTCTTTATACCTTCCTAAAATATAATTACTGGCTTTTGAATTTAATTTATACAGAATAGGCCAAATATTTTGTCTCTTTGCACTCCTTGATTTTGAAATTACCCATTAAATCAAAGGTAATTTTTTCATGTTGGGCAAAAAATCAAAAAATAGGAATCATCTTCTTTATTGGGATTAATTTTTAACACGAGCCATTTAAAAGCATAAGTTTTATTTTCATGTTTATAAATTGCTTTTGCAGGTTTGATCAAAGAAATCACCAACACTGCAAATAGAAAAGGGTTTAATAGGTTTAAGGGATAAATGATGTCATAGAAATACAAAAATTTACCCCAAAGATCTTCCTTTTTGGAAACACCAGAAATTTAAAAATAGTTAGATTGCCCGATCCTAGTGCTTGTATTAAAAAAGAATTCTTAAACCAGGGTTTAAAACAAAGGGACCAAACCAAAAATTTCCAATTTTGAACAAAATTTCATGACACTGTGTCAAAGGCCTTTTTAAATCAAAAAAATATTTCCCTTTAAAATTGTTTTCATATATATTCGCCCCCCCCAACGACATCAGATAATTTTGGGTTTTTTTCCGAAAAACCATATTGACCGGATGAAAAGTTTTTTTTCTTCCCTGTAATCTAGTTTGCTTTCCGACAAAATATTCTAAAGTTTTCCTAAGTGGGAAGGTGGATATTGCCCGTAATTTTAAAAATCATCTTTCATTCCTGCCTTATGGATGGGAGACTCTAGCTTTTTACAAGGGGTTTGGGACAACACTGTATTTGGCCCCAAATTGAAATGTGGGTCAGTCTCAACTATGGTGGGACAGCTTGCTTAAAAAAAATAGAGGGGACTTTTTCATAGGCCTTGTCACTTAGCGTTTCGCATACATGGGAAACAGTTTCATTTTTTTCTTTTGGGAACTATCAAATGGATATTTGAATTCTAGGAGGTAAAAAAAACAGTAAACTAACCTTTTTCAATATTGGGGGCCCGATTTTTAACTTGATCCAACATTTTCAAAAAATTTTTTTAAAAAAAAAATTTTCGGTTTTTCATTGATGTTTGACAAATTTGTTTACCGGGGGCAATTTTTAGCCATTTATAGTTTTCCATATCCCTTTAAATCTCTGGGACTTTTTTAATTTAGATCATCGATTACATTAGCCCTTTTGCGGTTTTTGAAAATTTTTTTTAAAATTTTTTGAAACTGTAGCAAACCCACCCATTTTACTTTATACATTTCTACAGTACCACATTTTTTTGCAATTTCCATTGTCTCCTTACCCTTTTTTCGGGAATTTCTTTTGAAAAAATGTGTTATTTAATGGGAATAAAATTCAGTAGAAGGTTTAGATAATTTTCAGCCTTTCTATGGGCTTGCAAAGGGAAGGTTGCTACCTGTTTATATGATGACAAAGGGGCCCGCTGTGATAGCTTTAACGTACTTTCCCAAAGTGGCTGTAAAACAACAGTGTCTAGATAGTCAAAATTTTTTTAACATACGTTTACAAAGATTTCTAATTTTAACCTTTTCCCAAATTTTGGACTATGTACTTTTAAAACTATCCACCATAAAACTTTATGATCTCCAAAACGTCCAAAACAAAATTGGACAAAATCTGCATAACATTAGGGGAAATTTCATCAAATAGGGGTAAATGCCCACGGCAACCTAGTTATCCCTTTAAGGTTTGAAAAGATTTTTAACTCTCAAGGTATACTAAATTTTTTTGTCTGGGGGGGATGGGTATTATTCTGGGGCAAAGTTTTTATCCCCAATCCAGAAACCTTTTTCCCATTCAAATTTTTTCATGCAAAAATAATGTATTCAATAAAAATATCAACACTGCAATAAAATTTCCCAAACGATAGAACACAAACATTGATCTTTTATTCTTTAAACTTCACCCATAAAGCTTTAATTATCAAGCTTACACCATAACTAATTCTGTGTAAGCTATTTTTTGTTTATCATTAAACCACAACCACCCTAACGTTTGGGGCCCGTCGCATCGCATAAGGTTGAAGGAGGAAGGTATTTATGGTGCTGGTCAATAGATCATTAAGATCTCTCATTTAGGGAAAGTATGTCTAATTTAGATCTCTAAAAAATTGGGGAAATTTTTATTACTTTTGCTAAAATTTAGAAGCCCTCCTTGAATGTTCAATGACCAATCAGGGTTGTGAAAACCCATCAGCTCATTATTAAAATTTGTCACTTGTAATTTTTTTAATTCACAAAGGAAGAAAAAAATTGGTTAAAAAATTTGGGTTTTAATAAAAAACAGAAAAAAAGCAGGTTTTATTTCTGGGGTTTACTGTAAAAATAAAACTTGGTTTGGGGGTTTTTCATATTTAGCAGTTTTCTAAAGGTTTTTCATATACTTTAATGCCTTGCTAAAATTTACTAGCCCTAATCATTGAAGGACATTACCTCCCAAACACTAAAAAAATGACATTTTTTTAAAGCCTTTTTTATCCTAAAAGAAAAAATTGCTCGGTTGGAGCATTTTTCATAGTTATTTCTTTGGCAGATTTATAACACCATTAATCATTTTAAAAAACCTTTTTTCTGGAGAAAACCCCCCGAGGGAATAAGTTTAACAATTTTTAAAATTTGCCCAGGTGCCCACTTGGAAGGAAAAAGTCAAGTTTTTCAAAACAAATTTTTTTAAGTCAGAGCTCTAGAACCCCAAAAAACTACAGGGCAAGAGTTTATCCTAGGGCGAGGGCTGTCAGGAAAAGTCCATCATTTTACCACAAAAGTACAATGCTTTTTACATTATTGGGATTTTAAAGTGTTTTCTTACATCTGATTGAAAAACCGTTATGTTGAATGGCTGTCACCGGGGACTAATACATTGCCTCATGATTTTGGGGCATAGCTTTTCCCCTCAATTTGGAAACATACTAGAGCAATTTGACACAACCCCCGATTTTCCAAATGTCATTGATCGTCTAGGGGGGCCGGGGTTCAGTGTTCTTAACTTTACTGGAAACTCAAAAGTAGAAAGGTTCGCTGCCATCAATTTGGGGGCAGGTAATGCTTATTTCATGGGTTTTTAACTTGCCTGGATAGGCTGTGTTAAAGCGGGGCTGGGATTGTCGGTCATATTCATTATGTCCCATGGGGGAGGGTGAGGTCACAATATGGCTCTAAGTTTTGGGTCTAAGCTTGGGCTCTAGTACCCCCAAAGAGAGGTAGAATGACCCCCGGGGAAAATTTACCTCCCCATCCAGTGAAGGAATCCTTGCGCCTTTCTATACTTGGGAATCATACACTATTGAATTTCAATTTTGGAACTGTGACGTAACGTTCTAAATAAATTTTTATGGTTTTTCTGCTACTGGGCCTTGGGTTATAAACCTCCATTGGAACAAGGGAAATCCCCGAATATGCAACTGCCCTATTTTCTTTGAGTATAGTGGGTTTTTATATCTAACTTTGGGATTTAACAAACGAAAAAACCCCACTCAAAACTTTGGATGGGGTTGAAAGTTTTTCAAATTCATTGTCACCATTTACAGAGTGTTTGGGGTTTTCCAAAATTTAATTTCTGCTGAAAAGTTCATGTCTTCGAAAAATTTTGGGTACTCTTTGGGGTTTCCAGAAACAAATCGAGGGAAAGACCCAATACTGAGGGGGAAAATTGAAAAAGACTGTTCACAGGGTCAGGTACCGGGGCAAACAGGGGAAAAATAACATCGCGAGGGAACTTTGGTGCCGTCACTTTCTGAAAATTTTTATAGAGAAAAAAATTTTCCGACGAAAACTATCTTCTCTCTTAAAGAGTTAAACTTTTTAACATTTACATAGGGGCAAGCCCTTGCTGGGAATTTAACAGAACCCTCAATCTCAGTTTAATGTTTGAGCCAACTTTTCTAACATAGTTACACAAAAAAAATGCTACGTTCGAAATTTTTTTAAAATTTAAATACCCCAGTAGCACTCCGGGGGAAAAAAGGTTAAATGGGAAAGTTGTAATCTTAGGGTAAGGGGGTAAACTCTTTAAAAAAAAAAGTTGAAGTCCCTTTGGGGTCTTTAAGAAACAAAACGTTTTAACAACCATTTTCATTGACAACAACCTAATGGGCGTTTCTTTACCGAGGCATTATTCCCAGGGGGCCTCAATAAATGTAATAGATTTAGTGTTTGAATTTTTTAAGTGATTTTTAAATAGCCAATTTAACATCTTTTCTATTGACTAAACCAAAGAATTCACAGTATGGGGAAAGATCTTTCAGAAAGTGGGGCCCAAATTAGGAATGACGCCTCTTGAAATTTTAAAATTTTATGCACTGAATCTTTTAAAATGTATCTGAAACTTTCTTTTAAAGTGCTTTTATTTAAAATTTACTATTTTTCAAAGTTTCTACTGTTAATGCATACCCTTAAAAATTTTAATTTTAAAGGGCAAATCTTTACAATTTTTTTTTTGGTTTTGACCAAAAATTTTATTGCTTTTTAGGGTTTTTTCTTGTATCCGCTTTTTTTGGGACCCTTTGCATTTTAAGTTTTTGGCCCCTATAATCTATAAGTTTAAAAATTATTTTTTAATTATTTTTATTTTTGCCATCATATCTTTCCCGTTGTACTTTTTTTACATACTTAAAAAAACTTACACTGTTTGATCATTTATTGATAAGTCTGCCCATCCTCCCACCCCCTGGAAATTTGTACCGTTTTCCCAAAAAAAAAGTAAAAAAATTACAAAAATTTTGAGTAAAATGTTTTACAGCTTGTGTTTTGAAAAAAATGCATTTCCCACGCCGCACTATCAAAACATGAAAAATTTCAAAACAGGCAGGGGTTGACTTAAAGTCAAATATTAAAAAGTTAGTTTTG